GGAGTTACATACGTGTTACATGTTCTCAGACAAGAAACCCGTGCTTAAAATTTGGCTTTATCTTGGGTTAAACTTAACCATCTTTCGAGGAACCAGGCCCTGGCCAATAATTTTTACTCGTAGAATAAACATTCAGTGGAAAAATCTTCAATTTCCTTTTTATTCGCTTTCTGCAAAAAGTTCTCAGAGTTCTTGGAATACAATTGCTAATCTATTTTTTAAATCTCCTTTTAAGCCCTATATAACAAATACTTAAACATGTTAACGATACCAGACTGAAAGAATAACAAGAACAATACGAAAAATACTTCTCAAACTCATTAATAATCCATAAAGAAAATTCAAAGGAAATTAATGTTTAATGAGTGTTTGGATATCAGATGATAAACTGCTCATTTTTGCATCCTTAATTTCTCCTTCAAAAATGATTTTGTTTGAGAAGAAATATCAAACATTCGACACAGTGTTTCATCATCAGATGAAACACCTCGAGGTTTGTCAAAAATACTCCGCTGCGCGTCGTATTTTCAACTCTCTTCTCGGTGTTTCATCTGGTGATGAAACACTGCATCTCATGTTTGATATATTACTTCAAACATTTACCTGCAATATTAAAAGTTAAGGTAAAATATATCTTGTTTCAGTGTTCAGCAATTTGGAATTTTAAACCAAAAAAAAATAAGAATAAGATTTTACAATGTACAATCCTTCCTTTCCTCGAACAATAAAGGAACTTCACGTTGGCATCCCCTGCTTCAACGCTTCTTTCCTCTTGTTTCTTTTCTTTACCGACTGTGATAACTCAATTATATCTGTTGACCATTCTTATCCTCGGCACGGGTGGCTACAATTCCTTTCCTAGGACTTAAGTTTAATATTTTTCATTGCAAGTCGACAGACGATTTCTCCAGTGCCGTAAATAATCCAAAGCATTGATCCACCTAGAAAAACGACTGACGTTAGAGAACGGTTCAAAAACGAAGTATAATGATATCAGCTTTAGTCACAAGATGCTCTGTGCTTGGTCAAACCTGGGTCCCACTGTGAGCAGTGGTGTCATCGAGAGAGACTTCAGGCTTAATTATAATGCTAACCAATTGTAACAAGTGCGGACAATATGATGAGCCAATCAGAATCAAGCGCAGGAAAATGCATGTCACAGTATAGATGGCTCGACATTTTAACCAATAGGCCATTTCCCAGTTCCCTCGGGCCTCTGTATCAAAACGAGGTTAGGTGCTCAACCTTTCTTGTGGAAATGAGTTTTATTTGCATGAGAATGAAAAATCATTTCCATATCAAAGGTTGAGCACCTAACCTCGTTTTGATACAGAGGCCCGGGGGAACTCGCAAATGGCCTATTACTAACTGTGGCAATACAAACCAAGGCGATTGCAAAATTACCTTAGGGGCCAAATTAAGGACAACTCTAACGCAACGTTTAAGGCAAAAACATACATTCCGTGAATACTATGCAATCGCGGAGCTATGGTTTGATTATCTCTTGCATACTGTCAAGGAATAGGCCCTTTTAGCTTGTATATTTTATTTTCCCCATTCAGACCACGTGATATTCTCAAGGGAATTTGCCTTTCCCTAAGCATGCATATGCACATGGATAGTGTGGCATTTGAAAGGAACAGTTCTCGTATGGTCTGCAATGCGAAAACAGGCCATATCTAGGAATTCCATACAACAGTTAATATGAACGGTACCTTAGCTTTTCCTCCTCATCGTGCGCCATTAACTGGTAAGTTCGGGTGGGCGTCACCACATTAAAACATGCCTTGTTAATGTCTTGCTGTGAAGGCGGTTGGTCCTGAACAGCGATCACTACATCAAGATCAATGAATCTGAGACAAAACCACGAAAAAAGAATTTAGTCGTTTAGTCTTATGGTATTGATGGTACATTAAACAATTTACTGAAGTCTAAAAGGAAAGATTAATATGTTATCATTATTGCTTCAACTATTATGCACGATTGCGCAATGCATGATTTCTAAGAGCAACATCAAGTCACGGGTGTAGAGTGGCATCTTTGCACACAGCCAAAAACACGACTCGTCGGTTTGCCACCTCGACTGAACAGGAAATCAATAAATTATTTGAAGATAAAGACTCTGAAAGTTTAAAAGATACACCAAAACTGCACAGGAAGTCTTCCATAGACGGTGTAAAATTTCTTTAATCGCATATTCGTACCTTCTTTTTTGGAAAATAATATAGTGTGTTTCATATGACTGAGCGATGGTCGTTACGTTCTTTGATGAGTGTTTATCAAAACAACCATTAGATGATTGTAATGTGCGGAATTATCAATGCATTGGTAAGTATTATAAGTTTCGGCTGATAATAACATCTTCCACGTATCACCAAAACCTCATCCAATAATACTTTAGTATTAGACTGCAGGAGGTAAAACAGAGTGTAGCGTAAACTGGGTTCACACGGAAGACGCAACTCAGCGCCGATTAGCACAAATTACACAAGATAAGTTGTAAGAAAAAATCCGTCTTACGTTTAAATTAGGACTTTGTTTGTACCCTTCATCAAATCAGCAAACGAAGGAAATTCTGAATCAAACTAGGTTGAATATTGGTTTAACCTGAGAATAGATTTCGTCTACAACAGATACAGTGTATGCAGTAGAACGAACTGTCCGTTTGTTTAAAACATGACATTTTCTGTCCATGAAAATGATGTGGCCATTGTATACAGTCTCACTATTCACCACTCCAGTAAACTACAGGGCGAATGGATACAAGCTGTCGGGGAAACGATTTCTAGAATCGTTTGCATGGACACGCGTTAGTTATGAATAATCGATAGTATCCAAGGGAATAGCATGCGAACAGCAGACGCATTTCCGGTCGTCGCTTCTCTCCCTCCGAAAAATAGCGACGCTATTTCCGACGACCGGAAATGCGTCTGCTGTTCGCAGGCTACCAAGGGAACCAATCAACCAATCATAGCTTACATTGTCCACACACACGATCCCAACAATCTTTGTGCTAAAGGCTTGGTACCCATTTTCGATATAAATTATGGAGTGAAGAATTATGATTGACTGCAAAAGGACCTTGTTCGACGAGTTTTCCCCAAGAGACAAGTGTCACAGGATACCCAGCTACGTACCCTCTAGGCAATGTGTTGTTGTTTTTCTGATAATAATAGAGCCTGCCATTTTTATCGGTAGAAAACCAGCGGCGTCTCCATCTTCTTCCAGTGAGTCCTTTCACACCTCTCTTACATAGCCAGCCTCTAACTTGACAAAGCTGAGAAAAAAATCAGTTAACAGCTTGAAGGCAACGTCTTTTATATACTCCTCCCGGTCTCTGCCCCTTCAACGCCGCCGTCAATATTACTGGCAGAGTCTAATTTCCCTTCTTAATTGTTTTCAACGTCCGTGTATGAATGTCGCTTAAAGCTCTAAAACATTTATAATAATAATAATAACAATAATAATAATAATAATAATAATAATAATCAACTTTATTTGACGAGGGTAACACGAGAAAGTACTTCAACTGAATAACTAGCGGCGCGAGTTTTCAAATTAAAAAAAAAAACACAGAAAAGGGAAGATATTTCGACCTGCGCGGTTAAGTATTTAATTAGAATTGCAGAAAAGAGTATGGCCAATAAATAGCGGCCGATAGGCCTCTCCAAAAAATACTACAATATTCTTTAAAAGGGCAGGTTAAGCCTCGCATTCAGGAGGAGGCAAAGCCCCACGTCCCATTTTCGACACGAAGTATGCGTGCCCTTCAGCTACTTCTTGGCAATTTACATAATACTTGAAGCGCGTCTGAAAACGAACCCACCATTGCAACGTTGGCATAAAGGCGCCTTCAAAATCTCAGAACATAATACCAACGTTTCACTGGTACGTTAGTATCAAAGGGGCATATCATGCAAATGGAAATCGAAATAAGGACGTTGTACTCCTACTTAAAAGGAGAGTAAGCCTGCACTTAAAATAACATGGTATTTTTCTAAATATCTATTAAGACGTGAGTAGCAAAGATTTCACTTGCAAAAACATTTCTTACCTCAAATTTCTTAGCATTCAATTTACCTCCCTGCATTTTAAGAACATTAGCAGTGCGTTAAAAAAGAAAAACCTTACAATTATATTTGTCATGAGCTGAGTTTTAATTAAAGCGCTTGGCTTACAAAGAAAGCGAGAATATGTATTTTAGGCCAAAGCATCAACTTAGATTATTTAGATTAATATTGCTGTAGTCTGTGTTACCAGAGGTGCGTAAACAAGGCAATGATATAAGGCTGAATAATGCGTGAGAACGCTGACGTTACATGTACCATTTTACTTCGGCCAAAATTCCATGTTTAACTGAAAATAAGACATCCTCATCTTCATATTATTCAGTATTTAAGCCTAATTGTATCGAAGTAATTTTATAGCAAATACAACTGAAGAGAAGCTGCTGATCATGATAATATGGCGACGCCCTTAAAGAGAAATAAATGTGGAGAAGCCGGGCTGTGGGAGAGAATAAATCTATCCTGTACTCCACCCCAAGGAGCATGCGCAGGTGGCGGATTTAGGGGAGTGGCCCGAAAACCTGGGCCCCAGCTTATTTTTAGCCCAAACTGAGGCACTCAGGGTTTAGAACAATTATTCTGGAGACGGCCCCCAACCTTATCATAGGAAATAGATGAGCGGGCCTCCCATTAACTTAAAGACCTGAATCCGCCATTAAAAGTGAGCAGCACACGATAGAAAGAGGTCGAGGTTGAGGTAGACAATTTCACAAAAAGCACTGTATTTTTTGTCTTAGTTCATAGCAGAAACTCTTGCAAAAAAAAAATATGTAAAGGATTGCTTAACTCATTGGTTATCGACACAGCAATAACTGGGGAAAACAAACAACTTGGCAAGAAATTAAGTTATGCCAAGAGAGGATAAAAGGGACAGAGAAGGCATCCCCGATACACACCCTATTCCATAGGTAATTCGTCTCGAGTTATTTTTAGAATCGGGATAAAGTTACCTCGCGCGCTGCGTGGATGTTTCGTGGAGGTTTCGCATGACTAAACGCCGTGCAAAACATGTCGGGCGAGTCTTCCATAGACGGTGTAAAATTTCTTTAATCGCATATTCGTACCTTCTTTTTTGGAAAATAATATAGTGTGTTTCATATGACTGAGCGATGGTCGTTACGTTCTTTGATGAGTGTTTATCAAAACAACCATTAGATGATTGTAATGTGCGGAATTATCAATGCATTGGTAAGTATTATAAGTTTCGGCTGATAATAACATCTTCCACGTATCACCAAAACCTCATCCAATAATACTTTAGTATTAGACTGCAGGAGGTAAAACAGAGTGTAGCGTAAACTGGGTTCACACGGAAGACGCAACTCAGCGCCGATTAGCACAAATTACACAAGATAAGTTGTAAGAAAAAATCCGTCTTACGTTTAAATTAGGACTTTGTTTGTACCCTTCATCAAATCAGCAAACGAAGGAAATTCTGAATCAAACTAGGTTGAATATTGGTTTAACCTGAGAATAGATTTCGTCTACAACAGATACAGTGTATGCAGTAGAACGAACTGTCCGTTTGTTTAAAACATGACATTTTCTGTCCATGAAAATGATGTGGCCATTGTATACAGTCTCACTATTCACCACTCCAGTAAACTACAGGGCGAATGGATACAAGCTGTCGGGGAAACGATTTCTAGAATCGTTTGCATGGACACGCGTTAGTTATGAATAATCGATAGTATCCAAGGGAATAGCATGCGAACAGCAGACGCATTTCCGGTCGTCGCTTCTCTCCCTCCGAAAAATAGCGACGCTATTTCCGACGACCGGAAATGCGTCTGCTGTTCGCAGGCTACCAAGGGAACCAATCAACCAATCATAGCTTACATTGTCCACACACACGATCCCAACAATCTTTGTGCTAAAGGCTTGGTACCCATTTTCGATATAAATTATGGAGTGAAGAATTATGATTGACTGCAAAAGGACCTTGTTCGACGAGTTTTCCCCAAGAGACAAGTGTCACAGGATACCCAGCTACGTACCCTCTAGGCAATGTGTTGTTGTTTTTCTGATAATAATAGAGCCTGCCATTTTTATCGGTAGAAAACCAGCGGCGTCTCCATCTTCTTCCAGTGAGTCCTTTCACACCTCTCTTACATAGCCAGCCTCTAACTTGACAAAGCTGAGAAAAAAATCAGTTAACAGCTTGAAGGCAACGTCTTTTATATACTCCTCCCGGTCTCTGCCCCTTCAACGCCGCCGTCAATATTACTGGCAGAGTCTAATTTCCCTTCTTAATTGTTTTCAACGTCCGTGTATGAATGTCGCTTAAAGCTCTAAAACATTTATAATAATAATAATAACAATAATAATAATAATAATAATAATAATAATCAACTTTATTTGACGAGGGTAACACGAGAAAGTACTTCAACTGAATAACTAGCGGCGCGAGTTTTCAAATTAAAAAAAAAAACACAGAAAAGGGAAGATATTTCGACCTGCGCGGTTAAGTATTTAATTAGAATTGCAGAAAAGAGTATGGCCAATAAATAGCGGCCGATAGGCCTCTCCAAAAAATACTACAATATTCTTTAAAAGGGCAGGTTAAGCCTCGCATTCAGGAGGAGGCAAAGCCCCACGTCCCATTTTCGACACGAAGTATGCGTGCCCTTCAGCTACTTCTTGGCAATTTACATAATACTTGAAGCGCGTCTGAAAACGAACCCACCATTGCAACGTTGGCATAAAGGCGCCTTCAAAATCTCAGAACATAATACCAACGTTTCACTGGTACGTTAGTATCAAAGGGGCATATCATGCAAATGGAAATCGAAATAAGGACGTTGTACTCCTACTTAAAAGGAGAGTAAGCCTGCACTTAAAATAACATGGTATTTTTCTAAATATCTATTAAGACGTGAGTAGCAAAGATTTCACTTGCAAAAACATTTCTTACCTCAAATTTCTTAGCATTCAATTTACCTCCCTGCATTTTAAGAACATTAGCAGTGCGTTAAAAAAGAAAAACCTTACAATTATATTTGTCATGAGCTGAGTTTTAATTAAAGCGCTTGGCTTACAAAGAAAGCGAGAATATGTATTTTAGGCCAAAGCATCAACTTAGATTATTTAGATTAATACTGCTGTAGTCTGTGTTACCAGAGGTGCGTAAACAAGGCAATGATATAAGGCTGAATAATGCGTGAGAACGCTGACGTTACATGTACCATTTTACTTCGGCCAAAATTCCATGTTTAACTGAAAATAAGACATCCTCATCTTCATATTATTCAGTATTTAAGCCTAATTGTATCGAAGTAATTTTATAGCAAATACAACTGAAGAGAAGCTGCTGATCATGATAATATGGCGACGCCCTTAAAGAGAAATAAATGTGGAGAAGCCGGGCTGTGGGAGAGAATAAATCTATCCTGTACTCCACCCCAAGGAGCATGCGCAGGTGGCGGATTTAGGGGAGTGGCCCGAAAACCTGGGCCCCAGCTTATTTTTAGCCCAAACTGAGGCACTCAGGGTTTAGAACAATTATTCTGGAGACGGCCCCCAACCTTATCATAGGAAATAGATGAGCGGGCCTCCCATTAACTTAAAGACCTGAATCCGCCATTAAAAGTGAGCAGCACACGATAGAAAGAGGTCGAGGTTGAGGTAGACAATTTCACAAAAAGCACTGTATTTTTTGTCTTAGTTCATAGCAGAAACTCTTGCAAAAAAAAAATATGTAAAGGATTGCTTAACTCATTGGTTATCGACACAGCAATAACTGGGGAAAACAAACAACTTGGCAAGAAATTAAGTTATGCCAAGAGAGGATAAAAGGGACAGAGAAGGCATCCCCGATACACACCCTATTCCATAGGTAATTCGTCTCGAGTTATTTTTAGAATCGGGATAAAGTTACCTCGCGCGCTGCGTGGATGTTTCGTGGAGGTTTCGCATGACTAAACGCCGTGCAAAACATGTCGGGCGAAAGGCAATGAAAGCGTAAAGAGATCGAGAGCATTCCTGAATATTGACGCGAAATGAGTCGGCGCTCATTTGGGAAAAGAGAATCGCTGGACTCTTTGACAACTCATGAAATTAGTTTAACTCGAAGCTGTCGTAACCTCAGTGCTTTAATAAAATGAGAAACCGGTCGTTTGTACAATAAAGCAAGTAGGACGCCAAGTGTTATTTTTGTTGAATAATAAAAGACTAATAAAAGAATAAATATCAAACCAGAATTTGCTCTCTTCAAACTGTAAATTATAAAATTAATGATCCTGAGAGAATATTCAGTGTGTTAAGGATTTCCCTGCTGTACTGTTAGCTCTATACAAGAGAGGAAGGGTGATTCCTTTTTAATTTCCATTTCGCTGACACCGCTCTAGTAGAAATCTCTCTTTAGTCGTTTTCGTCGACAAAAAGAATAGCAATATCTGATCGCTCTCCGCGTCTTCCGCCATTTTTTTTCAGCGTCAATTCGTGAAGGACGCGTGGCTCTGAGCGTGGGTCATCCACGCGGAACACATTCGCGCCATGTGATTGGCTGTTGTCTAATCCCCCTTAGGATCTGTGGTCTTAAAATTAACTCGAGACGAATTACCTTTGGAATAGGGTGTGTACGGAGGATGCCTTCTCTGTCCCCTTTATCCTCTCTTGGTTACGCAAGACATCCTTACCTCAATACTAGAAGAAATGTTTTGCTTTTCCTTTGAGTTGTCCAGCTCTGTTTCCGCTCGCTGGAGCTGTAAGGCGTTCAAAGGATGATTAAAAAAGACTCACAAAGACCGTCAACATCAAGCAATCTACAAACATCCCAGGAATTTAAACGGAAAACATCGTCATAATTTTGACATGGTAGATATGGAGGACAGACGGTTGTGCTTTAAAACAGTCCTCGGGTCCAAATAAAAAAGAACGACCCAATTACAGCAACCCTTGACTCTTGCTCCAATCTCGTCCCCAGAGCCTCCGTTACTTTTGTACAGCGGATGTAAGTTATCCCCGTCGCTGTACAAAAGGATCGCGGCCTCTGGGAACGAGATTGGGAGGCTCTAATAAGCTCTAATAACGTTAATGCTCGAATTACTGCCCAGGCAGGGCGCTTTTCTGTTTTTTTATTTTTTTATTTATGTTTTGAGTGGAGAGGTGGCGACCCTTACGTCACTCTTCAAAATTTCAGTATGAAGGTAACATTTGCCTTTTTTTCTTTGGAAAAACCTGTAAACTGAACTAAAAAGGAAAACTAGAACGTATCTTTTAGCATATACACAATTTTGTGGGTGCGTTTGGTGCACATTCTTGGCTTTGAACGTTTTGTTGTAACTCATTCCTGTCGCTAACCTCAAGCACTATGGTCAAGGGAGCGCTTCTTGAACATCTATCATTCTGATGTCCTCCAATGGTCATTCTGCAGTGATTGTGCATTCTATACCACATTCATTAAAAATAAACGTAGCATGCACCGTATATTCAGTAAGGAAAAATGTTAAAGGGGGATGGCCTACTCAAAGGAGGGGACTTTTCGGAAGGGAGGCGCCAATTTGAGCATTTACGATAAGTCTCCTAAACGAAGTAGTATAAATAATGCATTCGTTCCATAATTCAGGAAAGTACGCCAAAGAAGACTTTCGCCGGTCGCCTGTTTTTCTAACCTGTGCTTTCAAATCTTCAACTAGTAATTGTAACTCTGAAATCTCCCCTTGTAATTCATCTCTTTCTTTGATAAAGTCCGTGTTTTTGAACTTGTTAAGTAGCTGCATCTGTTCAAGTTCGGACTGGAGCTCCGCCTTCTCATTTTCCAGGTCAGTAACTTTGGTAACGAGTTTCTGGTTCCAAGCCTTAAGATCCATGTTCTCTTTCTCCAGTTTTCTACAAGCAAAAATCCGTGAAATAGAAAATGAACACAAAGGATCTCGATATAAGCGTGCTTTAAAGCTACATACGGAAAACCTCTGACATGGCCTAACGCCCCCACCCCACCCCAGCCACGAGCAAGAAAAACAACGGATTCCACAAGTTTCTAACTTGTGTAATTGGCGGTGTTGTTGGAACACGATGCAAACTTCGCGGAAAACCACCTGAACGGGTATCAGAAAGGAGAAAAAACAACTTTATTCGACTCTTCACGCAACTTCAGTGGTAATTTACCTTGATCGAGCTTCGGTAAAACCGTCAGCTACAAAGCCTAAACAGAGTTTCACGATATGAGGTCGTTCAGTTTTGCACTTACTCGGCTCTCATTTGACTGTCAGTATCTTCCATCACATTTTCCTTCAGCCATTCTGAAACGCGGCTTCTAGGGCTCTCCGGAGGTACTACCTGTAATAAAAAATAACCAAACCAAAATCAAACAGAATTTTGCATCTTTTACAGCAGGTTGACCGGTAGCTGCTATGTCTTGAGTAGCAGGTACGCATCCGACATACACTGCACATCTCTAGGGTGTAATCTTTGTAACTGTAAAGTGTAAATATCATTTGTAAACGCACGAAAAACCTCTAGAGCACTCTTGCAGGATTTGCAAATTTCGGGTCAGTTTTGGAGAGAAGGGAAAACTGAAGCACCCGGAAATTAACCTCTTGGATCAAAGAAGCTAGAGAACCAATAACAATCTCAACCCACGGTCGTCACTTCGCTGGGAGGAGCAATACAACAAGAAGGATCTTTATATTTGAAACAAAGTTTGAGTACATTACATTCTGTAAAAAGACGGTACTTTCAGGACTTCTTCTTAAACGCTTCGTGTCTAGTATGTTTATTCATTCCAAAGAAATTTACAGTTATAAAATGCAGGTCCACCCGCAAATAACAAGGGATTACTACGAGGTGTATACTGTATAGCTAAATGCTTATTAATACGTTCGTTGTTACAATAAAGGAACAGTGAACAGATACATTTAAACAGGTGTACACATGAAACAAATTAAAAATTAAATTTGGCAAAAAGAGAGGATAAACGTCCTTGTATCGGAGTTCCATCCAGGGTTTCTTGACTGATTTTAATACGGGTTAACAACAGAGTATCCGTAGTAAATACCTGGATATCTCCGGGGATATCTTCGGACTTGGACTGAAGAAGAAAAAGGAGCACGAAAAATACATGCATGAGAAACCATATAGAGGATGGGAGTAATATAATTGTATTTCAGCAGATCGATATTATGTTGCGGAAGTAACTCATAATTGCGGGCAACAAACATCGTGACAGTCGCTTATGCAGCCTGTCACAAACCTCTACGTTGACTTAACAGAAATAATCGTGGAATATTTTTACGCCCCTTAATAGCGAGCAATGTGAGAACCTTATTTCTTCTTACAACAGCACTTTTTACTCAACATGTACATGTTAATCTCGAGAGTAAAGAAAATGAAGAAAATTAACTTAAATTCCCGTGATTGGTAGTAAAAAAAATAAACGGAAAACATTGTGGAGAATATACTTGTTGATATTACTGCTTAAAGAGTTAAAGGCGCGTCGCTCCTTACCTTACTTCTTCCTTTAAACGAAAACTTGTTTTTGAAAGAACTTAACGGAGACACTGGCGAAGTGGATAGGTTTAGAGACGGGTTCTGCTCCTCTTCTTCATCACATTCTGTTAGATCTTCCAGTGCGGCACTGACGACTTTTCTTCTCTCTCTGTTTCTTTCCAAGAGTTTACGGCTGTAGCTATCGGATTGAGCCTGTAAATCTGTCTCTAAGTCTGCATTTTGGTCAGTTTCACCTATAATAAAGGGAGATAATATCATTCCAAAATAGTGTGTAAGGCTTCAAACCTATGATGGCTTAACTAAATAACACAGTCGAACGTCCCGTAAGCGGATACCCTCACTTGTATGCAGACACAGTATGAATTCACAACACTGAGTTCCCTTTCCTAATGTAGTCATACGCGCAAAAACAAATTCTAGTTGCAAAACACGAATTCTTTCACTTAATATATCATCTAAGCATGGGTAAAGTACTAGGCTAGCATCAAAGTCAACTTATTATATTGATCAGGTCAGAACTAATTACGGTATTTTATACACACTTCTCTGGTTCTTCTGTTTGGAATATTCTGGATGAAAATTTAAAAAGTAGTTCTTTGCATTTATTCAAGCAAACGATGAAGGCAGATCTTTTACACTTACTGTTGATGCTGGCTAGCATGTATGCCAGTTACCCTTATTAATGTAAACTTCATAATTCCCTGGTACCGTTTTGTTTCTGTTTGTTTGTTTGTTTGTTTGTTTGTTTTATGTTGTTCTGCAGTATTTTATGTTATTTTAATTAAATTAATTAATTCACCTATTTTTCATTACTATTATTTTTTCTCCTACATTTAAGACAATTCAAGATCTTTCGTGTGTCACGACCCCATAAAATGTAATTTAATCAGTATTGCAACTATTCAGCTTGATAGTTTTTTACCTGATATATTTATAATCTATTCTTTTCTTTGTAAATGTTTTTTAAGTTGGCAAATAAAATGGTTGGTTGTTGTTGTTTGTTGGTTGTAGGGCCTTGGTAAAGTGATGGACGAGTTAAAGGGACTGCGTCATGCTATTTGTTATCTTTTCAAAAAGCTAAAACGTTTTTCGCATTAATTGAATTCCAAAAAAATGGTCTAGTTTTTTTATTATTTAAGGCCATATTTAGGTATTGAAACTGTTTCCTGTTTTCTGTTGCAACGGATGGCAAGAATGCGCATGGATAATGGATGAACTGAACTTGAAATAGCAGTTCATGGCAAGGAACTTCATCAAAATCGCCAGGTTAGATGGACGGTTTAATATTTATTGTCTCACCTTGACTGACGTCGTTAGTTGGAGTATCAGCTAGAGGATTACCTATCACAACTAGATTTTTATATTCCAGCGTTTTCATTTCATCGATGAACTGAGACCAGGTGCTGTAAGAGAATAAGGTGATAAACACGAAAAACATCCTTTTAATTTTATAGTCCCCTTAATGATCCTTCAACAAATTAACTGCACAAAACTTTGGGACCAAGTCCCAGTAATTGTATAACAAAAAAATTGTTGTACATTGATTAATTCATTGTCTGACTGACAAGTTGGATGTTTTGATTGACTGATTGATCGATTGATTGATGATTGACTGGTAAGACGGACACACGGAGGGAGAATAGGACAGACAGAGGGACGGGGGCCTGGGGGAGGGGGATTTCAATCTGAAAGTGTTGGGAACTCGTCGACTCACTTAGGGGTGTAAATTGCAAATTTTGGTCTCACTTAGGGCGTTTGGGACGAAAGGCCAATATTTCTGGCTATAAGCGTATCACTTAGGGTGGTGTGTAGAGAAATATCCATACAAAAAAGGCAAGAGATGGATATCAGTAGTCCCTCAACACACTTACTGTTTTGAACGATCTGCAAGTTTATTTGAGCTGTTTTCCTTCTTCTCTTCTTCGTTCTCCTCCTCCTCCTCGTCACTGTATTCTGCCAGTTCAGAAAGTCTTGATGTGAACTCAGCTTCACTGAGATGGCTGAAGTTACTCTGCATATCATCCTCACTTTGGTAGAAAATATCGAACAGTAGGATCAGAAAAATTCTTCTAAATAGTACATAAAAGTCTAGTAGTTAATAAGATGTAGAAAACAGAAAAAAAACGGCGTGCATAATCAAGTGAAATGTTAGGCCGAACGTCGAACTTTTCATGCAGTGGGACGAGCCAAATTGCCATTTGGGTCGACCTTCATTTAGTTAAGGCCTTTGCTGGATGAAGCGTAGATTTAAGTAAAGAAAAAGATATGACGCGAAAAAGTTTACGGTCGTACGGTGGAATCCCGCTATGTGCAAAATCACCGTTTTCTCGACGAACAGCTCATTATATATATCTGCTATTGCTTCAAAAGGGGCACCTTTACACTATCTATCCGTCTGATTGGACTGATAGAACGCGTTTGTCGATGCAAACTCAGTAAAACGAACTTAATCTGAGACAAACGTCGAACTTATCATGAATTTACAAGAAGTTAACTCACTCAGTTTGATTTGTTGCATGAAAAATTCGACGTTTGGCCCTAGCCTTAGTTACTTTTGTGCAATTTCTGCCAATGCCAGGCATATTATATATCATATAACATCGGGACAGGACGACAAAAAGACGCAACGCTACACTCTAAACATTTGTCGATTGTACTTCTCAAAAATGTTCTTTTGTAGCAAAATGTTTAAAACACTCCCCTGAAATGAAAGGTATTGTAAAACTAAGGTCACAAAGCAAGCCAAAAAAGCCAAACCTAAGAGCGGAGATCCCGCTGAAACCTGATCGCTTGCAAGAGTCTAATACACAAATTTTCACGCAAGTTCAAGATAAAAAAAAAAAACAAAAAGAATGTACAAAACATGAACGAAAAAACATGGTCGATCTGCACTATCGCTTTTTCCACGGAAAAGATCATCTTTGACAGCAAATAATTTCATTTTGCGAGCATGAAATGCAGTGTGACTACTCGGATCACTGAAAACGTACATGAAAAAATGTGATAAGAACATTAGTGACCAACTACTTTGGTCGATCTTAATATAATTTTGATGTCATGTTTAATCTAAAAGGGCACACGAAAAAGTTGAATCAATTTGTTAAATTGCACAAGCGCCATTATTTATTTTTGTATCAATCTACATACTCCACTTTTCCTTCCTTTATGAATTCACACTTCACTTTTGCTCCCAGCCTTGCTGAGGAAATTTTCTTCGAGAGAGCTTTAAATTCCATTTCTAAGTCAAATCTACATAGACAATATAAAACCAAATATAAGACAAGATCTTTATGACAATAATAAGAAGTAGAAGAAGAAAATTATAGAAGAATTATATTATAAAATAATACAGTACTGATAATAATAATGATAACCGATTTAACACATCATTGCGATAGGTATTGCTATTAAAGGGGTCAAGTGAAAAAACGAATTACAAATGTGTCTAAGGGAGATTTACTCAGATTTATTTGATTTTCACTGCTTTACTAATTAAACTTTGCAAAGATCTTGACTGTCATCAATGGCCACTGTCATATTGTTAAAAACCTTAAAGACTTGTTTAAGCAAATTAATATTTGCCGTTGACATGATGTTCCCATGTTTGCTTTTCCATTCTAGCATACAAGTTAACCCATAGAAGGTGTAAAGACAAATTTACAATTTACTTTCGAAACTCAAAATGGCTGGTTAATATCTTGCGATTTTCAGCTGTTCACAAGCAATATTTAAGAAAATAGCAGCCATCAATATAATGACTGGCAAAAGGTCTGCATAAGCTAAATTACATTCTTTCAGTAAAATTTTGAGATCATTTTAATAGGTTGAATAGAAGATGGTAAGGATATGATAAATGTATGAGGATGAATTAAAAAAATGTATTACTAAGCAAAAGTTTGCTGAGAACAAAATCATTGCCTTGTATTTGTTTGCATTTTTGTGTAAAATCTGTGCAGTATAATCAACCGCCAATCTAAAGGAGGCTTAACAGTAAGTACCCTTATTCACTCTTTCAGCTTAGGGAAGGAGGAGCAATTTTATTATATATTAGGAAGGGGTCTTTACTTCCTACATTTTGGACATAAAGGGGTGTTTATTTGAAGATGGGCATAATTCAAGCATTTAAGACAAGTAATTATCTTACACTTCACTCTGAGCTGAAGCATATTCTGCCATGTTACACGGAAATAAAGCAAGCTTCTTTCTTGCATCAGGAGTAACCTATGAAACATAATAGATTTCTATGAAGTCAAACTCATAGACAAGTCTACACACCAAAAGCTATATCTAGTATCAGGAGCTTGCACACCACTCCCTCAACCCCTTCTACTCCTTTTTCTCACAGTACATAGCCAGTAAGCTGCTAGGAGCTGGTTTTCAGTAAACAGAAGTCTACACCAAAGTACATGTAGTGCTAGAGAAAACGTTACAGTAGTACATGTAAGCTGCATGACCAGCTATCTTGCACTAAGAAAACTATAGGACTTCACTCATCTGACCTCTACTGCTATGTGAAAACTCAGTTTCACCCCCCCCCCCCCCCCCCTTCTTTTTAACTTTCATTTAAAAAAACAAAGACAAACAATTTTTTTTTATATTTTTTACTAAATTTAGGTGGTAGTTTTTTTTTTTTTATTAGAGTATGGAGAAAATTTGTATAAAAAAAGAAAAAACCATTTTTCACTTTTTATGATTAATATATATTAATAACACAAAATCTTATAGTGTATATTCCCCCCCCCCCCCCCTCCTTAATTTACTTACTTCTAAAACAAGGCACTGAAAATGTTATGTTTGAAATTTTAATTAACAGTTAGTGGTTGAATTTTTCTTTTTCCAAGTAGAGGTGTGAAAGAATTTGGAAAAGAATTAGAACCACTTTTAGCTTCTGATCAATGATTAAATTTCATGAAAGACCAATTAACTGAGACTTTTAAGCTGCGATATGCTTACACATCCCACCTCCCTGCAAGGCCCAAAAAGCGTACTGCATGTGCAAAATTATTGTTTTGTTAATCTGACCCTACTGCTTTTTTGACCTCCTTGTTGCCATTGCATCCTGACATCAGAGGCCACAACTGAGTGTGTTGTTAGAGAACACTCTATCTATGTGGGGAGGATGACTTACATTTTCAAGGACAAACATGTAGTCCTTCTTTTTGAACATGATACCGGTAAAGTCCTGTTAAAAAAAAAGAAATTCACATCAAGACTCAGAATTAATTTTTCCTGGTATAGTCTGTTGTATCTACATTCATTAGACGGGCATGATGATCTACCAGCATACATGATGCAAAGATTCTCATTCATATCAAATTACCGGTATGTGCACATCTAACAAAAATATTAACTTGTGAAATATAGACAATAAATTTTTTTGTCAGTATTTGTTCTAGGTCCATGTTAAGTGCTACTTATATACGTACAAGACTAAATAAGAACACTGCTAATTAAGTGTTAAGTGCATGGCCGTTTCTCTTGAGTGTATCAAGAGGTTCTAAAGTGATGCAGACGTCTAAAAATTAAATTTGTGAAATTATATGGGATTTGTCAAGATATTCTGAAAGAACAACATGCAAGATGCCTACTTACCAAAAATAAGCATTTTGGGGCAAAATGTCTCTGAGATATATATATTGGCCCAGTTATAAAATGCTCTGATGACTCCATACAAATCCTTCTAAACTGTAATGTGTACAAAACATCGGGCAACCTCTTCGGCAGTACTTTGTGGTAGTGTTTTGTTTTTCAGAATTTTACAAAAGGAAATTTATAAATTAAGTGTTATTTTGAGCATGCCCTGTTTGGGTAGTGAAATGCCCTTGGGTGCAGGACAGACTTTTACTGTAGTGTATTACATAATTATGTAAAGGTGCGAGGAAAAAGAAGGAAACAAAAATTAAAAGCTTAAAGTTGTACCTTATAAAGTGTAACAACCAACTCCACAGAGTTGGGTGGGAACCAGTTGGCAGCATAGCTGACTACTCCTGTCTTTTCATCCACTATTGACACTTTTGATGTCGGCTATGAAAATTAATCATCACAAGGACAATTTTGTAAAATTGTAAACTGTGAACTGAATTTTTTTTACGTACATTGAGCACTTAGGCTTTCTCAAAAACTTGTGTAAATGTGCATAAATTCAGAATTTGGAAGTGGTGGCTTTTCAGGAGAGGGGAAAGCTGGAGTGCCTGGAGAAAAACCGCTCAGAGCAAGGGAGAGAACCAACAACAAAGTCAACCCAAATACACCGTATATGTATGTTGTCACTAGGTGCGAGACCAGTGCTTTCACCATGGTGCACCACCCTTGCTCCCTGCAAAGGGTGGAACAATGAAAGACACTCAGGGGCCACTACCAGTAACTCAACTGAATAAGAAGGGAAATGAAGAAAAAAGTTGAAATGAAATTGTTTTTTTTATTTCTATCAATTATGCAGTGTCACCAACAATGACATTTACAGGAAACACCATTAACACCAAAACAGTTTAAAACAAAATACATTTTTTCAATGACAAAGATTGGAACTGTCTCTTTTAATAAATTATGCTAAAATATTGGATTGGAGCTAAAATATCATCCTTGTTTTAATACTGGTTCCATGTTTTAACACAGTATATTTAGAATATTTCATAGATATTAAGTAATGTTGACTTCAATATAAAATAGATGAACAAGATAAAAGTTGCAGTTACCTTCTCAGATACTTTAGATCGGTGGCCTCGGAACCAAACAATACTCAAACAAGTTGGTTGCCTAGTAGAGATTAATTATGGACAGTAGATTAGCTATGTACAATCTATCGGGGTACCATGTTCGCATCCCACACGATGCAGCTAACCTTGTTTGTGCTATCATGTACTGTTCATATCGTTTGAATTCCCTCCCTTCCTCCCTGGGGGTGCAAACAATACTGGTGAATCAATAAACAAATTTTTACGCCCAAACGTGTCTTGTGTTCATTCCGCGTGTTATTATCGTAGGTCAGTAAATTTCGAGTTTTGATTGTATCAAATTGTGTTATAAATCATAAAACATAATATTAACTGGATCAAGAAGCATTTTGAAAAATTAAAATATCTGAATATTTATTCAAATTAAAATCAACCCCAAGTGGAGGGTGCAGTTTCTATGACGGCCTATATGGTTGAGGGTCTGCCCAGAAAGGTAAGCACCTTTGTCAGACTTCGGGTATATCAAAGTATGGGTAGGGAATTCATGGGTTGAGGCAAGGCTGTGCTCTAGCAGAGCCTGCTGGCCCCTGGCTCCTAAGTTTTGCTCTTGGGGCGACTAGAAAATCTTTCTTCTTTCACACATATCATACGCTAGGCATCCCAGATTTTACAGGTACAGAGAACTGGGCTCCCTACAATTTTCCTTAGAGCACAGCCTTGGGTTGAAGTATATGAAAGGTTAAGGAAATCTGTCATTGTGTTTTGTAAAAAGTCCCAAAAGGGCTAACATCCACATTTTATGGCCATCAAAGACAGTACATTTACAGCAGTTAATACGTATAGCTTTGTCGAAATATACCCCCCACCCCCCCCCCCCACCCCCCCCAAACCACCTGAAAAAAAAAAAGGATTTTAGGTACTTAATAAGTAAAAAAAAAAACTTCTTAACCTCCGGATGGACAACCATTAAAAAAAATTTTATAATTTTTTTCTTTGGAGAGGCTGAAGGTTCCCTAACATTACCCTAAGCAAAAAGCAGTTTTACACGTTTTGGGGTTTTTAAACAAGGCAAAAGGGTAAAGAAAATTTTCCATTTGTTTTTGAAAAAATCCCAAAAAGGGTAAAATCCCCATTTTATTGCCCACCAAGACCCGACCTTTAAAGCAGTTAATACGTATAGCTTTTTCGAAAAAAACCCCCCCCCCCCCCCCCCCCCAACCCCCACAAATGCACTTGAAAGAGAATAGGCATTGTAGGTACTTAATCAGTACAAGTAAAAGCTTCTAAGCCTACGGATGACAAACTGTTAAAAACATTTTGATGATGTTGTACTGTGCAGAGTCTGAAGTTTCCCTAACATTACCGTAAGCAAAAGGCTGTTTCACACTTGTTGGGGTTCATAAGCATGGCATAACCATCGGACCCATGAACAGACAAAACAGTGTGTATCATAGGCCCTTTACTGCCAAGGTAAGTGCAATAGTACTCTTTTAAGTGCCAGCTTCACACAACACATGTGGGAGCTGTTGGCTGGGAACTGCGCGGCAGTTCTCCCATGGCATGCACGGGGACGGCAGATCAGCATTTATGCTGCTCTGTGTGCCAGTAAATCAAAATTAAGACAAATTGTAAGAAGGGAAAACACACACCAAGGGTAAAACAGCTGTCCATGACCACCACTGCCCGGTGATATGGCTGTGCGCATGCATGAGGTACTGGCCAGGTCATGGGTTAGTGTATTTTGGGTTGGTTTATTATACTTAGAGATACTAGCTCTCTCGAGCTATTCTAAATCCGAGTTTAAATAAAGTTATATGAATGTGTGTATTTGTGCTCCAGTTTGTCTTCCTCTTTTTCTTATCTTCTTATCGACTCCAAATAAATTTTTACCTAATAACTTAATTTACCGCTTTCCACAATACTTATCCATTGGTTACCGGTACATAGTGGTTTATCCAGGGCATAGAGCTGCATGCATGGGGCTGATTAGGGAATCAGGGATAGACAAAAACAGGACAAAATAAAACTGGGGAAACTTTTTTGGGGGATGTTTCTGACCAACTGAAAGTGCATTTGCACTTATTTAATTCTGGGCTAAACCATATAATGAACCTTTTATAAAATTCTGTTCTCCCAAATCATATCTTTTTAGTGTCGTCACGCAATATATGTACCTTGCGTGACAACACTAAAAAAGCAGTGAGGAAGGAAAGAACTGCCACACTAGTTCTAGCTAACGAATATAGAAGGGATTCGATTGGAAAACTGTTTTCCAAAAAAAGGCAAGCTGGGTCTAATATCTGTCACCATGAAAAGGAAACAGGAAAAAGTCGAAGGAGCGAGAATGGATGGGGGCAGCCAGATGATGGAATGATCAAATTGAAAACATGCGAAGAATTCGACATGAATCTACAGGAAATATAAGCTCTTTAAGCTAGGCTATTACGCTTTCGAATTTTAGGTTTAAATTTGGTAGTAGAGCTAGAGCATTCATTACAATATCATTAATGTAAATAAAGGAATAACTAAATAATCAATAATTAAATTACTTGTTAAACAATCACACTAAAATTGCACTATTACTAGGCGTCGCTAGTTATACGAGGAAACAGCGAACGTAAGAGAAAAATACCTGATATTGATGCTAAACAAAATTTTTAAAGTTGTTTGTACCGTGTTTGTTGTCTAGAGAGCTCTCTCTTAATATGTTCAATATAGAAGAATCGTCACAATCACGTACAACAATCAAGAACAAGCAAAGGCTTCTGTCATGTTCTGTGTCTACATGTAGTTAACTTCCTCTCAGACATTGACGTTCTAATAAAGAGCCACCTCAGTCACAAATAACTCGTTCTTTTAGAAACAAAACCCTTAACTTACCATCTATTATTGCATTTTAGGTCCACGTACTCATAAGTGATCGTAAATCGGAATTTGCAAGCATTTCCCTTGATGGATTTAGAAAGTGACTTACGAACGCGCTCACGGAGAGCCGTGCTACTCATGGCAAGCGAAACACAATTGAGGGCGAAAACGTCGCCCGTCTGCTGGTGTTGCTCTCCAAACAAGGGCCAAAGAAAAGGTCAGAACTAAAAAATCCTCGAAAAAAGGCAGGGTATTCCGATCCTTTACATCAACGCCTCAACTTCCGCAACGATAGACAAATAATGACATGTCAGTGAGGTGGAAATCTGGAGAGATTTGAATACATGTATCTCAAAAATTCCAACACAATCGAGAAAAATCCAAAATCCCGCTGCTATTCCTAGGTCCAGTCTCCCAGACCGATTCATATCGCGAGAGATCTGAGTAACAGTCTAAACTCGGGCAAAGAATCACCAATCCTTTATAATATGTAGCTGTCCGACCTAGCCTGAATTTCATCCGATTGCTTCGAATCGTTTTCTCCTCTCAGCAACTGAGGGAGTAATAACGACTCGAAGTAATCGGATGAAATTCAGGCTACTGTCCGACCAGCTTTGTCTTCAATTTTAAGTGGTAAACTTGATGGCGTTCACACACATAAACAATTAGGGTTCTGTGTCAAAAAAAAAAAAAAACAAGGTGTAAAGGTAAGGTAAAAATAAAAACGTGCAACATCCGGAATAACTTATTTTGCCAACTTTATTTTTGTTTATTTTTTTGTTGAATGGCGACGTTGCGCGTTTTACCAATCACGAATCAAACCTGTCTGCAACAACTCAGTTGGTTTTTGCAAGTTGCGTGGACTGACTTCGGATTGGATAAAATTATGCGGAAAGAATTTAACATTGCATAATTTAGTACAATCCAAGGAGAAATTGTTTTAGCTTTCTTCTTAAATACATTCTTGTTACTGTTGTGTCTTGATAGGTTTGCCGTAGTGCGGATTATTGCACTGTAAGGCCGATGAAAGTAATTTTACGAGTAATTTTTATTCACGAGTCTATGGGTTGAATAATACAGTTAAATATTACCTTTGTAGCTAAATGTCAAGAAGAGTAGTAGTTTGCCTCAGACCAGACCACGTGATTGTCCCCAAACTGAATACTCAACACATGACCGACCCGTGAGTTTTAGTAATAAGTTCAACTTTTTCGCCGAGCTGAATACTGATGGGATACTGGTGTACCGGCAATTGAGTTTACGTTGACGTCCGTATTTCTGCTGAAGAGGCTTATTAAACATAGCGCATTATTTTGATGTAATCAGTTGCGGAATCAAGCAAATGTATGTACAATTCTCTCTTCTCTTTGGACTACAGAACCCGGGGGCGGGGGACCCCGCATCTGAAGGTGGTACGGATGCTTGTCGGAAATTTTGAATTAAAC